CCTACCTCCTGTGTGCTGAATTTAATAGGGAAGAAAGTGTGTTCTATTTCATGTGCTTTGACTGTGAAACCTAGGCAAAAAAGTAATAATAACAATTTTTATCAAGTTGGCACATCTATTTTTCTGATTTCTATGGGAAAAGCACCTTAGTCAGACAAACAAAGATGGTAAAACAAACTGAGTCTTAAATAAATGAAGAATAGGGATTTGATGTGGCCCTCACATCAGAAGAGGAAAGGCATTTTAAGATGAAGCAATAGAATGAATGAGGTCACAGAGGCTGAGAGACTTGCCTGGTTAGAGGGACTCCAGCTGTCACACGTCACCCAGGGCAGATGACCCCTGCAGGCGGAGATCAAGGAGTGTGGACTCTACCCGTCCACTGGAGGGAGCCCTTGAGGGAGTTTAGTCAGGGAAGTGGCTTGGTCTGAAGATTTCTAGAAGGATCATTCTGTCTAAATCTCTGGACTTAAACAGGCTACAAGCACAGCAGCAGTTAAGGCACCATTGAAATAGTGCAAGTGAGGTAGGAAAGTATTCAGCAGAACCAGTACCAGCAGAAATGGGAGAGGAGGGAACAAATTACCAGGAGGGAGGAAAAGAGAAGAGTTAAGAATGCTTCCCTGGCTCGGCGCCTGTGGCTCAAGTGGCTAAGGCGCCAGCCACATACACCTAAGGTGGCAGGTTCAAATCCCCAGCCCGGGCCTGCCAAACAACAATGATGGCTACAACTAAAAAATGGCCGGGCATTTGTGGCGGGCGCCTGTGGTCCCAGCTACTTGGGAGGCTGAGGCAGGAGACTTGCTTGAGCCTAGGAGTTGGAGGTTGCTGTGAGCATGATGCCACATCACTCTACCCAGGGGGATAGCTTGAGGCTCCGTCTCAAAAAAAAAAAGAATGCTTCCCTGATTCCTAGCTGAGGTAATCAGGAAGGTAAGTGGTGAGGGAAAAAGAGAGCTGAGGGAAGATATCAGGGTGTCCAGGGAGGAATAGAGCTTGGGGAACCAGGAAACTGGAAGGAGGACCTGGAAACTGGGGGTGGGGAGGATTTTGGGGAATTTCCCCACCAAATTAAGAGGAGTCTCATTAGGGATAATGGTTACTTTGTACATTTAAACTCTTATTTATTTGAATATGGACACAATGATCTTTTTTAATTTACTTATTTCCTAAGTGCACCTCATTTTATGTACAAATTAACTTTCTATGTCATTTGCCTTTTTCTTATCACAGAATCTCCTGCACTGTTTTAAGTCAGTGAATTCAGACTGGTCATAAGAAGCTTCAGTAGCACTACATTAGCTTTAAAATAATGAAATTATTTTTCATCTTTGAATGTTTTATTTCCTGCAGAGTGTTCACTGGAGAGAAGCTTTGAATATCTTGAAGCTGGTAGTTTCTCGGTCTGCCAGCCTCGTTTTGCCTTCATACCAGCACAGTGACCTCTCAAAGATAGAAATACATCGAGTGTGGACTAGTGCTTCTAAGGAATTGCCTGGAAAAACACTGGACTTCCACTTTGATATTTCAGAGGTACTTAGCAAGGTCAATTGTTTCTGTAAATTTTAACTTAAATTTATGGTGGCAAAAGTCAAAAGTGGTTGTCTGGAGAAGAGTAGACTTATTTCACATTTCTAGTAAATGAAGAGATTTAAGGCCTCAATTAGGTTCTGCTTTTTTAAGAATACCTTGAGTGTCATATTCACTGGGGCTCTCGATTGGTAGCTTTTAAAAATAGAAAGAAACTAGCCTCGTTATATAAAAGAGTGATTTTTTTTTTTAAGATGTTAAAAGTGGAGTGATCGGAAGCATTTTAGACCATGACCTTCATGCATCCGTCCTTCATCTGACAATGATCACGTCATATCATTATATCCACAACTTATCTTCCCAAATGACAGCCAGTCCAGCAAATCACTGACATTTACAGGAATACAAAAAACACCTCCATGGTTGCTTCCCAAAGGCACACTGCTTTGTAAACAAGTAAAACTAAATTCTTGTCTCAAAGGGCAGGAAGAGGGTAGGGAGAAAGGGACCAGGGACCTAAGCTAGAGAGTCAGGAAGAAAAGAAAGGGCTAAATGTGGTCATCTACCCTGGTACATGAACAAACATTTGGGAAGCCTGTCTCGTTATGTAAGTCAAAGGTTTAAAAAAAATTAACTTTGCTCTCAGGCCTCATACCCTGTGATCCACAGACTCCCAAAGCGGAAGTCTCATTCTGTTCATCTTCATGAGCGGGCCTGGTGCAGTGTCTGGTGCATAGTAGATCATTAATAAAAACTTGCAAAACTCCTGAATGAGTATATTCACTAAGAAATAATCAAATCTGATTGCATCTGGAACTTACTTACATTATAAAGTAGGTTATACTTTATGTTGGTTTTTTTACACAACAGTTCTTATTGACCTTTCATCATTTCAGTATTCAGGATAAGCTCTATTTTGCTGCCACTGTGATTCCTGCATCTGCATGTATATTTAGTTTATAAACGGATTAAGACATCAATCTTTGTTCATATTTAACTTTTTTGCTTACATTACTAGAGGGAAAAGCTATTTCTTTATACTCTTAGACTTGAGTTTATTCTGTTCCAATGATATACAGAGAGCCTGTAGCCAGTTAGCTTCACACCCTGGAGACCCAGAGCTGCTCCAGAATGATGAGCCTTCGTAGCCAGGTATAGAATTACCACCCCAGCTGTCAGTCCCTTGAGCTGGTATCTGTGGAGTATACCTGCTTGGAGCTAAAGGTTGGGAAGTGCTGCCTACCCAAAGGTCTCAGGAATTGAAATTTCTTTTTTTTTTTTTGAGACAGAGTCTCGCTATGTCATCCTCGGCATCACAGCTTACAGCAACCTCAAACTCAGGCTAAAGCAATTCTCTTGCCTCAGCCTCCCAAGTAGCTGGGACTACAGGCACCTGCCACGATGCCTGGCTATTTTTTGCTCGTAGTTGTCTTTGTTTGGCAGGCCCAGGCTGGGTTTGAACTGCCATATCCAGTGTTTGTGGCTGGCACCCTAGCTGCTCAGCTACAGGCGCCAGGCCAGGAATTGAAATTTCTCAAGTGTTGCTCAAGTACCCAACCCTGACCTCATTCGTTTGAATAATTGAAAAGATATAAATAATTTAAATACATTTTTAAAAAATTGAGAGTATATAAAGATCAATGATTAAAGGTTGGGAAGAGGAGAGGAAATTTTGGTCTCTTGCTCTAAGAAATTTGTTCTAGCTTAAACAATGAAAAACTGTGCATTTTGCTTCTAATCTTCATCAGTGGTTTCTAAAGTTATTAAAGAATAAGCAGTTGGGTTTGTTTCCTACTGCTAAAGAGGGTGGGAAAATGTTGAAGACGCAAAATGCTTCAGAACGTATTACCTGCACATCAGGAAAATGAGTCTACTTTTACCATGAACTTCTCTCATCTGATGTTTAATCAAATAAGCAGTTCTTGGTTGTTTGGGGGGAGAGTGGTCCCATCCACCACAGAACCATTACTGAGGTAGAAGAACGTGTGCCTGTGTGTTCTTTCTTCTCAAGACGCCAATCATCGGGAGGCGGTATGATGAGCTGCAGAGTTCTGCTGGGCGTGACGGGAAGCCGAGAGCCATGGCTGTCACCCGGAGCACATCCTCCACTTCTTCTGGCTCCAACTCCAATGTCCTTGTTCCTGTAAGCTGGAAAAGGCCCCAGTATTCTCAGGTATATAATCCTAGACTCATGGCATAGGAAGGGAGTTTAGGGACCCATTGAGCCCAACTGCCCATGTGGTTGGGGAATCAAGGTTGCCCATCAGGTCACAGCACTTCCATGGGATTTTAAGGGAAGCCATTTTCTCTCTGAATAGCACATTATGTTGAGTTGAAGCCTGAATCTCTGTTGCTTCAACCTACTAGGTCTAGTTTTCTTAAGGCTTAGAAGACAAAATCTGATCTCTCTTTCACACAGCAGCCCTTCAGACATTTAAAGAAGTCCTGCCTCTCTGCCACTCCCCTGTCTCCATACAACACATCCTTATTTCTCACAACCAATTCTGTTGACTTGGACACCCAAAGGGTCAATAGGGCTGTACACCCTGCTGTCTTCAAAGCAGGAACTTCATTCGTGGTGTCCACACACAGCCAGGGCGGTGTGCTGCCAGAGTCCCCGGGGGTTGTGTTATCACAGCCCACCCTGCAGTATTCAGACAGGCAGTGTTTGCTGTATGGTGACTGTGCCCCTGTATTGATACAGTTGCAACTACCTTAGAGTAAAACCCTTGCATTATTCAGGGGTCTTTTAATGACCTGTGACAAAAACTGATTGAAAAATTGCCTTTCATGGAAAAGGAATTTATTAACTCACGCCTCATGCTTCAGGCCCACTTGGATCCTCATACGTAGACGTCCGGAACTTGATCGCTAGCTTTCTCTCCTCACTGTGCCGCCGTGCCCTCCCAAAGTCCCAGTCCCTGTCCCCCACCCCACCCACCATGCACACTGACTTCATTTCCAGCCAGGTTCTCTCCGTGGGGGGGACCAGTGACCTCTGGAAGCTCCAGATTTATAAGGTCTTTGACTTTGGCGATTTCAGAAGGACAGAGGCCTTCCCTCTTTTGACATCTGTAGCAGTTCTAGAGAAAGGAGTATTTCAGGACATGTGAAGGAAGCAAAACCCCACTCAGTGGGAGAGGAGCCTTTCCCAAGATAAAAAGAGGGACTGCTGTTACCAGAAGGCAAAAAGGGTCCTGGGCAGGAACAACGCTTGTTTGTGTGCCCAGTAGGACTCACCTTCACGCTGAAGGTCAGGGGAACAGAGCACACAGCATCTTGGCTGCGGGAACACAGCAGGTTCTCAGCAAGTGTTCATTTGAGTTGTTGGAAAAGAGAAGAAAAATGTACAGTCCAATTCCACATTCTTTCACATTCATTCCTTCCCAGAATTGTAAAAATGACCTCTATGACGTGAGGAAATAGTTCAGCAGATCTCTTGCCATCGTCCACTGTCCTCCTGCCTCTGATTTTGAATAGGCACCGTATTTTCTGTCCCTGCTTTAATTTGGAAAGAAGGAGGCAGTGAACCAAGTTCCATTAAGAAGCAAAATCTAAGAGTGCTGTTGGCCTCCTAGTACTTTCCCTGTAACAAATCAGATTAAAAGGGGAGAAAAAAATCATTTTAAAGAGATTCGGAAGACTGCTTTAAAACCATCTCTGAACTACATTAACATTTTTTGGGCTCAGCTTACTCTTTCTTTTCATTCTCAACTCACAAATCATTCTGACACCTATTATATCTGTCATTGTAAAAAGAGATGGTTTATAGAAGCATCGCCATGCCTTAAGGGGCTGGAAAAGACGGTTCATGAAGAAAAACACAAGGAATTGAATCTGTTTAACTTTCGGGAGAATAAGTTGAGAAAGATTTAATATGGCTTACAAAATAATTGTGTTATTTCATTCTGCAGAAAGTAGAACTATTCTCCCATTTGAGGAAAGTAGACTTGTGCTATAACATAGTAGACTTAATTTAGGTATCAGGAAAGTCTTGCCAATACTAAAGGTTGTAACATACAAGAAAAGATTATCAGAGGAAGTAATGGACATCCACTAAAGAACCTAAGGGTTGCTTTTCACACACACACGCTCCTTGGGATCACTTAGAACACCACTAGCCAGTAGAAACATAATGTGGCCTACTTTAAAATCTTCCAATAGTCTCCTTTTAAAAAAAAGTTAATAGGCTCCGCCCCTGTGGCTCAAGCAGCTAAGGCGCCAGCCACATACACCTGAGCTGGTGGGTTCAAATCCAGCCTGGGTCCGCCAAACAATGATGGCTGCAACCAAAAAAGAAAAAAAATAGGCGTTGTGGCAGGCGCCTGTAGTCCCAGCTACTTGGGAGGGGGAGGCAGGAAAATCACTTGAGCTCAGGAGTTGGAGGTTGCTGTGAGCTATAATGTCACAGTACTCTACCCAGGGTGACAGCTTGAGGCTCTGTCTCAAAAAAAAAAAAAAAATAGAAACAGGCAAAGTTATTATTTCATATATATATATTTTTTTTGAAACAGAGAATTCTGTTGGCCTGAGTAGAGTGCTGTGACATCAAAGCTCATAGCAACCTCAGATTCTTGTCATGATCCTCTTGTCTTAGCCTCCCAAGTAGAAGGCACTACATGCCCTGCCACAATGCCTGGCTATTGTTTTGTTTTTAGTAGAGGCAGAGTCTTACTCCGGAGCCTAGGTGATCTACCTACTTCAGTCTCCCAGCGCTGCTGGGATTATAGTTGTGAGCCACCATGCTCGGTCTGGCAAAATTCATTTTAGTAACATTTTTTACTTAACCAAATATATGTAAGCTATTATTTCAACATGTTATCAATATTTTACAGTTATTAATGAGGTATTTTCCATTCTTCTTCCATATCAAGTCTTTGTATCTTTTTCATCTCAATTCTTACTGAACACATTTCAAGTGCTACTGCCCTGTGTGTCTAGTGGCTATAATATGAGGGCACGTTTGCTCACAGGAATCCATCGTGAGAGCTTATCTTGTGTTTCTTTTCCAGAAGAGGACAAAAGAGAAGTTGGTGCACGTCCTTTCTCTGTGTGGCCAAGAAGTAGGATTAAGCAAAAACCCCTCAGTAAGTTCTGTCGTGTACCAGGGTTATTTTGGTGTCATTCTCTTTTGTGTTTGGTCTGTTCTGGTCGTCCGGCTTAGAGGAGTCACCTGGGAATGGAGTGTGTGATATCCCCCTCAGTTGTTCTCCCCATGCTGTGGTCTCACCGAGTTCAGAAACCATGAAATATTCTGATGGCTGCTTTTTCTCCAGTTTGTGAATACTCAAATTATTTTCATTGTTTTTTAATTTCTTACATTTTTAATAAATATATCTAGACTTATTTATTATATATATGTTAATCGGTACTAACTACCACATATGACATGTATGCTCATTCTTTTTGGATGTAATTTTACTCTCTGTCCACACACTTCTTACTGTGATTTCCTTATTTTATTCACAGATCATGTTTTTTTCTCATATAATCTTCTGATACTATAGTAAAAGAAAAAGTTGCCATTGGAATTTTGGGTGAATGCATGATTAAAGTATGAGTCAGCTTCTGAATCGTTTATAAAATTTTGAAAAATTCAAATTGTGTGTGTGAGTGTATTAGAGCAAAAACAATAAAAATGTCAAAGGCTGATTTCACCAAGTACATTTATTTCATCTCTATCACAGCAGCTTTGTTAGTTACAAAAAAGAAATAGCAAAATAAAGTAAGAACTAGCAAACAAATTCTCTGTGGCGCTACTTTAGAAATTTCAAAATGTATCTACAAGCATAGCTCACGAGTGGGTTAAATAGCAGAGGCTTGTAAATACTTGCAAAAGTGCAAACTGAGATCGTCTGGGAAAGTACCCCAGCCAGCCGTCAGCTAAACGGGGCCTCCACTGAAGTCTCCTTTTTAGTATGACTGATCAGTGAGTGGTGCTGCTTCTGGGACCTGAGTTAGGGCTGAGGGGACAGAGTAGACAGAGCCACACAGCCCACAACAGAAACAAGAGTGTTTTGCCCCTGCACTACAGCATAGCCAGCGAGGCCAATTCCTTATTGCCATGTGGTTGGCATGTTCTCTTTCAGATTCATACTGTCTGCCCCTGTCCTGAGGCCTTTCCAGCTAACAATAATAATTTACCCAGAGTATATTATAAATACAAGAAGCAGCACTAGCCGGGCGCTGTGGCTCACACCTGTAATCCTAGGACTCTGGGAAGCCAAGGCAGGTGGATTACATGAGCTCAGGAGTTCAAGACCAGCCTGAGCAAGAGTGAGACCCTGTCTCTACTAAAAATAGAAAATCTAGCCCAGCGTTGTGGCTAACGGCTGTAGTCCCGGCTACTCAGGAGGCTAAGAATTGCTCAAGCCCAAGGGTTTGAGGTTGCTGTGAGCTATGATGGTGCCATGGCACTCTACCAAGGGTGACAGAGTGAGACTGACTCAAAAAAAAAAAATGGAAAAGAGCGTTCACTATGGAAATCAAAATTCTTATGTCTCATCTTTCACAGACTAGTTGACTAGTCTTCAAGGCTGTTTATCTCACATACCCATTTGCAAGCTCTTTGCAAAACTGTGTGTTTTGTGCCATTTTGTGCCATTTTAAGAGGACTCAACGTACACGCTCTGGCTACAGAGAAGTAGAGATAACACTTGCAATCCAATTACTCTTTACTGCTGAAAGATGTTTGTTGTCTTTAAATTCTTCTAAATGATTTGCCTACTTTCCAAGAAGACTTTATAATGGTTATATAAAGAATACTATTAATTGTATTTAATATTAATCTATGTTCAGTAGAGTCTTGATAGCAAAATATTTAGGTTCATTTGCAGTTTATTATTTCTACAAAGTTCTATTAAAATGGCTCAGTGAAAAGAACCTAAACATAGAAGGTAATTTGAAAACATTCACCTACTTAAGATTTTTAAAGTAAAGAATGTTTTGTTTAAATCAACAGGACAGGAATTTAAGTATAAACCATGGCATGGTGGCTCAGCTACTTTTCAGTGAATAAGTAACTGTACTTTTTGGCTTCTCTTTCTTATTCCTTGTCAGTTTCTGCTTTATCTCTGTAAGAATTAAATCTTGTGCTCCCATAGTTCATTCTACAACAACGTATCATGGTATCAGTAGTTTTTTGCAGTTTTTGGCCGGGGCTGGGTTTGAACCCGCCACCTCTGGCATATGGGGCCGGCACTTTTGAGCCACAGGCGCTGCCCCATCAGTAGCACTTTTTAAAATGTTATTTTTATGTATTTGGTGTGTGTGTGAATGTGTACAATTTCTAACCTCCATCAGTTCAAAAGCAGTGGAACATTTTCTTGGCTGTTCCCGTTTGTGAACACATGATCAGTTGTTACACACACACACACACACACACGTGCATGTAGCATCTAGTCTCCATTAAGAAGCAGCAGTTCGACTCTTGCGCATTTTCCTGGTGCACGGACTTGCATCTTTGCAACGAGTTTAATGAAGGCACCTGTCCAACATAAATAATAAAAGAACGTTCTAAAAATACCCACTTAAGGAATTAGGTGTGTGCTGGAAATACAGGGGTATGAAGAGCCAGTTACAGTTTTTCGTCTCACAAACAACCAAAGGGAGAACAGTCTCTCAGGAGAGGACTCTTTTGATTCCTAGGTGATTTTTTCATCGTGTGGGGATTTGGATCTGCTTGAGCACCAGACGAGCTTGGTGTCTTCTGAGGACGGCGCCCGAGAACAGGAGAACATGGATGACACAAACAGTGAGCAGCAGTTTAGAGTCTTCAGGGACTTCGACTTCCTAGATGTGGAGCTTGAGGACGGAGAGGTATGTGATACTCTCTGTAAAAATAGTCCCTTCCACTTTTGCCTGAACTAATGAAACAGTTTCTTTTTACCTGATAAATAATGCGTTTTTGCAACAAGGTCTTTAATTGGAAAGCTGCAAACTTTATTTTGAATCAACTTATTCAAAGTACAGAGGCTTAACTTTGGGAAAAGTTACCACACCCTTCCTGTCTGAGCCCATAGCAGAAGCTGCCAAGTTATTGCTAAGTTTTAATGACCACACAAAGACTGTGCGTGTGTGTGAGAGAGTGTGTGTGTGTGAGAGAGAGAGAGAGAGAGTGTGTGTGTGTGTGTGTAGTACAAAGGTGAACTTTAAAAAAAGAAAATCACAAAAACATTTTAGTTCTGAGCCTGTTTGCTGGTGCCTGGGTAAAATACACTCAGCATTTAACTGTTACAAACACGAAGCTGCTGTAATTCAAGTACTTCAAAGCTTACCTGCTACAACATGAGACCAGAGCCTGAGGGATCCAGCATTTTTGTGCTGTTTGATGAAATCATTAGAACCTTGAGATAAAATACAAGAGAGCTCTTTGCTCTGCTTTATTTTGGTGGCAAGTTCCAGATACCTGGAGCAGCTGAATTCAAGTCTTAACAGGGCAATGCAGATTCATTTGCTTTGAATGATACTCATAGCAATAAGATGCTTTCAGCTATGAATCAAGTTTTTGAAAACAGGGATTGGAGGGAGGAGCATCACCCTGTCAGTCACCTTCATTTCAATAGCTTTGAGCTGTATGTTCCGTCTGAGAGCCACTCTTTGTTGTTGCCCTTGGAACGAAAACTCAATTCACTGAAGGAGATTGGCTCAGGTAAATAGGCCTGGTTAAGGGGCTTGGGTCCACAGTTTGGCTCAGCTCATATCTGACTGCACAATACTTGTATATCCCAAGCGATTTCGGCCAATCTTATAATTAAAATGGAGGGATCTACACCTCCTTACCTAACTCAAACTGGGAAATGAAGCTAAAAGATGTCAGTGCTGACCAACCTGCTTATATCCAGTTGAAGCCAAAGAGCTCTCTCACCCACTGATGACCCTGGATGTCTGTGCCAGCAAGAAAGAATCACATCCTCAGAATAAACAATGTGTTCGTTATCGATTCTTTCCCTGGAAAACAAATTTAGCAGACCCAGTCCTTAAGAGTATAAAGGCACTGACCGTAAGGCCTCCTTAAGGCGCTAGCTGGATTTTCACCTTGAGTTGTTGGAGAGGCAAAGAAAAGTATCTCAGTTTTCTGTGAGCCACCATTCACTAAATGCAATAAGGTTGTTTTAAAAGTGTAAAGCAAAATACAACTGTGTTGAATATTTTCAAAATATCTCTGAGCCAGAGCTCAGAGTTCAGCTCATGTCAAAAGATTACCTCCCTGATCTGGCTTCTGACCTAATATTCACTTTCAGGTTAGAATTCAAGCTAGAATTCAAGCTTAGGCTGCTTCACTCTGGAAGTTAAACTAGAGAGGGGATACTGAGGAAGCAAGAGAGGCGTCATTTTCTCATGTCAGCCCTAGAAAAATGTTATGTGAAGTGACCCGGCAGGAATGGTGTAAGGCAGAGGGATCAGATACAATGTCAAAGCTACTAACAAATTTAACTTCTATCAAAATACGGGGAAAATATGACATGCCCATCACTTAGAAATTAACATTGTACTTGTTTTTTTAGGGATCAGAAATAATGAATAATAGACCTTCCTTCTTGACTTCTCCCTATTGTCCTAACCAACAACTAAAACATCACAATGATTGAATCGTTTATGTTCTAGGATTAAGATTTTATAAGAAACTTAAAGGGGTGAGAGTACATTTTATCCAAATAAAATAAACCATTTGGGAATGTTTCACTGCTTTTGAATAAAATCACAATAAGGGATTCTAACATAGGAAGTGAAAGAGTAAAGATGCTTGGACACTGAGAATCTAGCAGGTCCAAGTTTGAATTTCAACTCCACTACTGACGTAGCCATCCGACCTTAGGCATGGACACAGTTCCTCTTGATTTCTGCTTCTTTGTCTATTAAATGGGTATAATAATACAGGATTGGCATCCCTAATCTGAAAGTTCAAGATCCTAAGAGCTCCACAATCCAAAATTTTTGGACACCATCATGGCACTATAAGTAGAAAATTCCACACCTGACCTCATGTGTGGGTCACAGTCAAAACTTGGTTTCATGCACAGAATTATTTAAAACGCCATATAAATATATCTCCAGGATATACATATGAAGGGTATGCAGAACAAAAATTAATTTTGTATTTAAACTTGGGTCCCATCCCCAAGATATCTCATTATGGTTATGCAAATATTCTAAAGTCTGAAAAAAATCAAAAATCCCAAAGTTCTTCTGGTCCCATGCTTTGAATAAGAGATACTCAGCCTGCTCCTGCCTATAGAGTTGACATGAGGATTAAATAAGGTAACATATGCAGAGGTCCTGGCATAGTGTCAGGCACATATTGGCATTCTAAACTATCAGTCCCCTTGTACTGTCATTAGTGAATAATTTTAATATATTCTCATCTGACAAAGGTAAGCATATTTAGCTTATAGATCAAAACACAGTTGCCAAAAAAGAAAGACAAGTTGTTTTATCATGTCTTTTATTTTTCATTAGATAAGAAATAGTAGTAATTCTCAGAATTCATTGCATAACATTTGTAAGGCTTTGCCTTTGACCTTTTCAGAATTTTAAAAGGTGTGGTGTTGGACAAGCCCAGGGACTCACACCTATAATCCTAGCACTTTGGGAAGCCAAGGCACTAAGATTGCTCAAGGTTAGAAGTTCAAGGCCATCCTGAGCAACATCCCTTCTCTTCAAAAACAAATATTGTTAAAAATTATACCTGTAGCTACTTGGGGAGTCTGAGGCAAGAAGCTTGTTTGAGCCCAGGAGTTTGAGTTTGCTGTGAGCTGTGACGTTGCCACTGCACTCTAGCTGGAGCAACAGTGAGAGACTCGGTCTCTAAAAAAGAAAAAAAAAGTGGTGTGTCTTTGCTATTAATTGCACATCAGCAGTAAACAGATCATGTTCACAAACACCTCGCTTTGTGAGCAGGATCAGGTGATATCACCTTTCTTTTATCCAGTTGATGACCTTCATTCATTTTTCCATGACACTTAACAATTTTCTCACAAAAATATATTTAGGCATTCCAAAAAAATAAAAGTGTTGAGAAGACCCAAAGTTATCACTGAAGTGGAAAGCTATTTCCAAAATTATATGACTTATTACCCAGCTACATCATTCACCAGTAAGAGGTGGCATTTCTAATGTTTAAGCCTGACTTTTCTCATCGGGGTTAGTGTATACTTACCTTTTTATTTAAGTTACATCTACTAAAGTATATATTGTTAGCACTGTTATTTGCTGTTGTGTTAAAACTAAGACAAACGCACTTGAGTATCTTTAATATAATCATTTTAAATAGACCTTTTATTTGTTTTTCTGTCTATTCAATCTGCTACCCAGGAACTTCAGGTAAGTTGATACTACTTTTAATTCAGATATGCCAGTAGATGTTTTGCATCTTTGCAGATTTATAACAATGTAATTGCTTTTTCCTCCGTTCTAGTATATGTATGCTTATTTGCGTGCGTATTTCCATTTAGATGTGTGTGATAGAAAAGGTATTTTTCTTGGCTGCTGTAGGATGAAAATTTTTTCTAAAATACAAACACAGACTTTTAAAATACTTTACATGTCTAGTTCAGGAAGTTGCATGATTATATCTCTTGAGTGAGCGTGAGTTTTCAAATAAGATCTATGGAAATCTTACAGCCTCTGATGAGGAAGTTGTACAACTGGATGGATTTTGATGTTAAATCATTTTATGAAAAGTGAAATCAACAGTCTGCATCTAATTATATACCATATATACTTCTGATCCAATCCTTTTGTTTTCCAGGAATTAAAAGTTATCTCTGTAGAGTAACTATATAAATTTTCATCCAAACCAGGGCCCTTTGCAAGTAAAGGGGGACACTAATAATCATTATGCCCAGACAATGGGCAGTAAACAGGATCCTCCTGGAAGGGCTGGCTTAGGATTGCGCTATATCTATGTGTATCAGACTAAATCTAAGGAGCTACATTTTGGAGAACATATTTGATCATAGCGCACCCAAGTTCCTTCAACAATTCTCATTTGATAGAGTTCTAATGTGAAAATGTTTTTTCAAAGAATATTATTTTCAACATTTCTAGAGTGTTCAATCATTATTCCTTCCCCATCTCAATTTAAATCCTGAGTGGTTTATAAGCCTGACAACTGACATATACAGATTGTTCGTCTGGAGTAGTCTCACACATGCAAAATCTGGCATAGTCAATAAAACACTGTTCTGACTTTTAACTTTGTTTGTAACACAAAATACAAACATCTGGCATTCAGAGGAGGGGGAGGGTGGGGGGGACTCTCTTATTAGGGTTATTCCTGTGCCATGCTGCCTGGTTGACTTTTAGTCACCATGGACTTTAACTTGGCTAGACTACAACCCTACCACCAGGCACATCATTACAGCACCTTTGCCTCCAGTGGAAATACCACATCCTCTAGACAGCCAGATCTTACGCTTGCAAGAACAGCTTTCCCTGCCTTCCTATTCTCATGACAGATTGATTCAAGTCTTCACCAGAGCTGCCACCAAATTAACCATCACAGTGGCCTGGTGCAGCAATTTCTTAGATGCTTAGCATCTCTGAGATGTCTATAATATTCTGCAGGCTTGTACTTCTGTCTCACGTTCAGTATGGGAGACCTTCAGAATCGTTGCCTAAGATAATTCATGCAACCCATCCATTTGTTGGGTATAAGAGAATTAGCTTCGTGAACCTATGTTTGTATATTTTCTCTATAGTATTATTTTTTTCTTTCTCTACATGTTGGATTTTCCTTTTCTTCCCAGAACTTTTGTCTCTTCTACATTTCTTTTTCATTTTCTCACTGCAATAGATATTTTTAAATCCAAGCACAACAGTTAGCCTTTTTCCACCAAGGAAAAAAAATACATTTGGTGGTAATTTATCACAGCAGATACAGATAAAACAGCAAGTACAGATACAGAATATAGAACCCAAACCATGAGTCTGCCTTCTCTTTATAATCAAACAGCCCTCTGATCACTTTAAATATAAACGGAGATGAATAATAATAGCAATTTCTGTATCACATCCAGAATGTGTAGGATTTTTACCTGTTGCCTTCCATCATGAATAGCCAAAACAGACTTTGGAAAACCCAAGCCTCTATTATATGACAAATCTGTGAAAATGGCAGGCTTGTCTCCTTGGGAAGTAGAAGTAATAGACCTTAAAACCAGAGGAAAATTAATAAATTTAATGCTTACCAAGTTTAATAGTTACTTTCATCTTTCATATTATTATGCTGCTCACTCTCATCAAAAAAGTTATTACAGTGGGCCATCGGTAGTGTTTCAAATTACCAATAAATGAAAATATTCTATGTTAGATTTTGTTCAGATCACCTACTTGTTTAGGTTACAATTTGCTTATCAGTGAGATAGGTAATATTTCCATTGCTTTACTCTTAACAGAGAGAAGCATAAAACCCATACTCATTTCTAGAAAAAAAATCTTACGTCAATCAAATGAACTTATTTAATATCTGACAGTTTATAGAGAAAGTCTGAAACCAACTACAAGTTTTCTTTAACACTTACATGCCCAGTTAGGCTAGTTCTCAGTAAATCAAAATGTACAAGTCAGCAACAATACTTGGTCCTGAGTTGGTCATTCGTTCTGGATGCAGGAGATAACTGTATGTTGGGACAATTATTTAAAGGTGAGCCTAAAGCAAAAGTGAAGCCATCGCTGCTCTGGCCCCGCATAGTGCATGATCCGTCGGACTTGGCCCGGCTGCTCTTGATAGTCTTTAACTCTGCATTTTATCTGTGAAAACCACTGTGGCAGAAATAGGCTGGAATGTTTACCTAATACTCTACTTAATACCCAAAGGATGTCAGAATGTGCTACAAGCATAGCTCCTACTTTTTCTCCCTCTGAAAACAGTACTAAACAGGGGCCAGCTGTGAGGGAGGGCAGGCGACTGGTGGGGGGAGGGAGGGTTGACACTTCTTTTGTTTAATATTAATGGACTCTTATAGATTTTTCTAATTTCAGATCATTTATAGGGTTTATTAAAGTCAACTTGATTAAAAAGTAATAATTACTCAAGATGCCAAAAAGTGCATAATGATTTCTGCCTCTGACTTTTCGCGCATTACGGAGCTTTTACTGCTTTTCATGTCAGATGAAACTTTTGGTACCAACATAGATGGGGGTCTGAAAGTTGAGGATGACAATATCTGTTTCTATGCTGTGACTAATGAATGTGTAAAGGTGGACGTGTGGCAGGATTTGGGCATAACAAATGGCCGATGGTGTGATTTCAGGGGGAGAGTATGGACAATTTCAACTGGGGAGTGCGCAGACGTTCTCTGGACAGCCTGGACAAGTGTGATATGCAGATTCTGGAGGAGCGCCAACTTTCAGGAAGCACTCCCAGCCTCAATAAAATGAACCATGAGGACTCCGATGAGTCATCCGAGGAGGAGGACCTCACAGCCAGCCAGATCCTGGAGCACTCAGACCTTGTAAGTATCAGCGCTCCCACTCCAGGAATCGGGAGACTTATTTTTTGTAATTAATACAGGAGTGTAGTTTGTAGTTCCAGCTAAGGAAACTCCATAACTGTTAAGCTAAAATCTGAACTGTCAGGTGGTATCTAATGGATTTTAACTGCCCAATTCTTCTCTGTAGGTTGTAAGTAAAAACAAATGCCAGGGTGTACACTGATGTACCCTGAAAGCCATCGAATCTTGTAAGGCCCAGATTTTTCCCAGATAACTTTTATGATGGTGGAATCTTTTAAAAAAATTCCTCAGATTGCCAGAGTTTCAGGAGATACAGCAAATGTTCTGTAACTGAAAATGCAGGTACTGGCGTTTTAGAGGTATGTGCCATCACAATACTAGATTACCACCTGCTATGTTTAAATAGGATTCAATAACAGTGAAATACAGAAGTTAAAAATAAAACCTATCAACCAACAACTAGAGAACAATGGTTTGGACTCAAAGTAAGGAATAATTAGAGCTTTTAAAGAATGGGAGCTTTATACTATGTTTTATTTCCCTTTCTTTTTAAACAGATCATGAATCTCTCCCCCTCTGAGGAGACCAATCCCATGGAACTTCTCGGCACAGCCTGTGACTCGACCCCCGCTGACCCTCACTCCTTTAACTCCAGAATGGCTAGTTTTGATGCTTCTTTGCCTGATATGAATAATCTGCAGATTTCTGAGGGTTCAAAGGTAAAGAGATTTTGGCTATGATTGTAGTTTCCTTAAAAAAAGAAAACGCTTCTGATTTACTGCACATTCTTATGGGGTCAAAAGTGTAGGAACTGTATCTTTTTCTTTCTTACTTTTTTTGAATAATTGAAGTTCGTGCATCAGAGTCCATATTTTAAAAGTTGAGCAGCCGCCTTCTTGGTTGAAAGAGATTTGATTTGAGGACTTTTTGAAAGGAAACATGTTGCCTGAGCCCTGCTGATAGGTGGCAAAAAAAAATTGGTGTGTGTCTGAGATTGCTGTGCCTGGAAAACTGCTGCTCTTTGTCTTGACTTTTATAAAACAATACGCTAAGTGAGGTGTGGGTGGATGCACGTATTTGGGGACATTTTTTCCTGCGTAGGAAACAATTATACAATTTGTACGTTGATTCGAAGCTCGCCTCTTGGCATACTATAGGCATTTTTAGTGTCAATCACGGTTACTATGCCAGATTCACACAAAACTCTTCTAGCTAGACTCTCTGAGGAGAAAAGTAACTAATGGACGTAGTTTTCTTATTGAAAAGAGTTTTCTTTTAAAAAATTCTAACAGTGTGTATTTCATTTAAAGTTTATTCAATTAAAATATCCAGAAAATATCCTGTCTCTAAAGCTATCCATTCACATGCTGTGCCCACATGTCTGGCCATGAGTTTAAAATTTTACTTCCCGACGGCAGAAATACCAAATGAATCTATGGTTAGGCTAGTTGTTAGGGTAAAATAAAGCATTCTTTATCCTGAGCATGGTTGTGGAGGTATAAGTTTGAAAGAGAAAGTAAAATAGAAGAAATATTTATAAAAGTATGTGACTTCTGACATTTCTAAGGGAAAAATATAATGTTGGCCATTTTGTATTCTTTTACGATGTACTAAAAATAGAACAGAAATCTGGACAAATCTATGGACTTTAAGCTGAGGACAAACGTCAAGTTGCAATTACCTAAAAATACTGAAGCTTAAATAAGAACCATTTCTAAAATTACCCATGGGAAAGGGACTGTGCTTAGGATTCTTGGAGTTAGCAAAGTACTTTCTTAGCAAAAAAAATAAAAAAATAAAAACTTATCTAGGTTAAAATGCCAGAATCCTAAGATTAAAAAATTAAATTTCATGGAAAAACATCACAAAATATATGTGAAGTTATTATCATTTGATATTTCTAAGAATTAATGTAGTCATTGTCTCCTTTTTCCATTTTGAATGCTAAAATATATTTATTTCTCAGATAAAGTACAGCCTAAGGAAATCATCTAATCCTACCAAAGAAAGGTTGGATCTCATTTCTGAAGTGCTATTCCTGTCTTTTACATCAGCTGGGCTTCGGCAATGCTTGATGTATCTGTGAAGTTAGAAAAAGTAAAGAAACTTTTACAAGAACTCAGCCTTCCCCTGATAGAGTAAGCTTGTGTGTACCAGTCACCAATGGCCAGCCTCATTAGCACCGCTGTAGTTTTAAGAAGGAGAAAGCAGATACAGATGAGCTTCTAAAACTCGGTATTTACCAGAAATTCCTCCAAAGACATGAGATAACTCATTTCTTTAATATGTCTTTAACTTTCCTTTTGATTTTCCCTATTAGTTCTAGATTCAAAATACTAAATATATACCAAGTGAGCAGCCAGATGTTAACCAGTGATAAAGCTCTAATTCACATACACTTCTGTTTTGCCTTGAGTTTTGCTTTTAAGAAAATGACTCACGGAACATGTACATGTATTTTCTTCCCCTCTTCTGATGTGTAACCCAGTTGCCTTCCTTCCTCTCCTGAAGAACAATCAGTCCTCCGCTGATTTCCCTTGGCCCAGGCCCAAGCCCAGCCTCTTTGCATTTTACTTGCTAAGTCTCTTTCCTGCCTCTGACTCGTCCCAATTCTGCCTGGCCTGCAGCCCTCTCATTTTACTGCTTATTCCACATTTTGTAGCAGGGTAAGAGCAGACGCTCCTGTCTGTTATCTTCTAGGGCTTTAGCATGTGTGTAAATGGATCTTAGGGGAGCCCCAATATGGAAACATCTAGCAACCCACAAGCTCAGCAGAGGACTCTGGAACTGCTGTGTCAGGCACTGATGATTGTAAACTCTAGTTTCCATTGGTAAAGGGGTTCTGTGCTGGAGAATTAACTCTGGATAGCCTTGCTTTCAAGGGGCTGGAGTTGTACACTGGAGGGAGTAATCAATCCAAATATGTTGTCTGTGTCAGCTCTGACTGTGATTCTCAGTCTGATATTAGGCAAGTCCCTTTGCTAGGTGGAACATCATGTCCTCATCTGTAAAATGTGGAGGCTGGACCCAGGGTCTTGATGGTCTTTTCCAAGGTTAGCATTTATACCCCACAAACATGAGTCAAATATGATAAGTTACGGAGAGCCCCTGTGGGGACTCTTGCAAAAAAAAGACTGAAAAGAAGATAAATAACAGTACTTCGAAGAATTCCTGAATCCAGTCTAGAAACTGATTGTATTATGGCTAGAAAATAAATGCCCCCATTTCTATCACTGTCAGCATTTCAGTCCTTTATTTTCTGTTCTTCAAATGAACAAACTATCTTGTATATATTCTCACACGTCTGGGGTTCTTTTCTCTTTTTATCTTCCAGGCGGAAGCTGCCCGGGAAGAGGAGGACACCACTGGGCATGAAGATGATCTTTCTGGTTCCATCAATGAACTCCCAGCAACTTTTGAATGCAGTGACAGCTTTAGCCTGGACATGACTGAGGCAGAGGAAAAAAGCAACAGAGCTCTGGACCAGTTTACGCTTGCAAGGTAACAGGGCCCAGGGGGGAAGTGAGTGGTGTGAGTGGCACTGGACCAGTTGACGCTTGCAAGATAACAGGGCCCCATGTGGGAAGTGAGGAGTGCGAGTGCCACTTTGTATTTGTATTGCATCTGCACTAAAGTTAAATGTCCCTCTTGCAATGCTGGGATATCCTAGTTGACAGAGTCCTTCAGCTGAGTTAGACTCACTCAACTCCATTGCAGGGCCTCATGTAAAACCAAGATAAGATGCCTAAGGCATAAACCAACATGAAATCCAAAGAAGAGTCTGGGGACATGGTCCAGACCTTGTAAGCTTGAAGCAAGATTTGGCAAGCCCTAGAAACAAGTTAAAAGACCAGAACAAGAGGCTCTTTAATACCCCAAAATACTCTTTCTGAAGTGGGTGTCTTTTGGCTGGGCTGATATTTCTGAGACTTGTAAGATATACAAATAGAAAGAAAATGTGAAGAGGAATAGTTATCACCATAGGTTACACCAGTGTTTTTCGACCTTTTTGATCTCTTGGCACACTAGAACCTATAGTTAAATTTTTGTGACACACTTAAAATATATTCATCCCCCCAAAAAAGAGTTAAAAGAAAGAATATACTTATCGTGCTTTGAACTTCTTTTGAAAATAATTTAATTAATTACATTTTAAAATTTTCACAGCATACCTAAGATCCTCTCATGGCACAGCAGGTGCTGCAGCACACCAGTTGAAAATCACGGGGTTAGACTAATGCAGCATCTACAATAAGTCACAAATAATGCTACGGAATTACTTCAGGGGAAGTCAAGATTCTAAAATTACTCTCCTGAAAGTTAACAATAAGAGCCCAGTACGAGCTCTGACATGGCTAGACAAAGGCCTTCTCTTACAGGGAGCAATACCTCTCTATCAGAGAAAAAGGCTAATATCTCAAGAAGAATTGGACTTTTTACGTTTTATTGTTTGTCTCTCCTTTCTTCCTACATCTCTCTCTTACTGTCTAACCTCTTCTTGGCCTTCCTCTCCTCCCTCTACCTCAGTCTTCTGGGCATTTATGTGTATACATCCATGAGTACTCTCCCTCCCAAAAGGAAAAATTAGAAGATTCAGATTTTTATTATAATTTTTTGCAAGGAAAAATGAAGAGGAATGAAAGTGCCCAAGCACAGGAACTAATGCTCACTTCATCTAGGGCCATAGCCTCTGGGAAAGTGGGAGACTCTTGCTGAAGGCTGAAAGAGGTATGGAGTCTGCAGAGAGATCAGAAATGGAGGAATCAGATATTCTGGAGATGAAAATTCTATTTCCTAGAATTGAAGAAGAATCTCAGTAACCTCTGAATGAAAGCCTAGTCCCCAGAGCAACGGCAGAGGCCTGCCTCATCATGTGACACTCAGGGTTAGAATCTGTGCACCCTGGTAAAGGGATGAGATGGACGTTATTTCTTGACATGGTTGTTTTCATTTCTTCCAGCTTCGGAGAAGGCGACAGGGGAGTCTCCCCGCCTCCCTCGCCCTTCTTCTCGGCGATTCTTGCCGCCTTCCAGCCCACAGCCTGTGACGACGCTGAGGAGGCCTGGCGCAGCCACATCAACCAGCTCATGTGCGATGCAGACGGCTCCTGCGCTGTGTACACCTTCCACGTGTTCTCCTCCCTGTTCAAGGTACGGTGCTCACTGCAGGTTCAGAGCCAAGTGCAGTGAGGAGCTTGTGGAGCAGCCAGGTGGCTTCTCGTTTAAGGAGGAGTTGTTTTGTTTTGAGATTGTACTATTTTCTCCTGCAGACACCCCTGAAATTTTCTCTGTCTTTAAAATTTCATTTTTCCAATCTTAATCTCCTTAACCTTCTCAAGGTGGTATTGTGAAGATGTTCAAGGTGAAGGATTTAGGCTGCCATGAAATCCTTCATTTCTGCCATTTGGGCCTTTGTTGACGCCATCCATCCTAAACAGCCATGACCCCACTAAGGGGTATCTTCTGCCAAGCCTGTCCTCCATCCGGTCTTTTGTTTGTCTTTTTTCTTCATTATTTGTGCCTGGCCTTCCCTGTCTTTTATCTTCTCCTGCTCCCACCCAATAAATTCCTTAACCTGCCAACTCTTGCTTTCTCCTTTTAGTTGCTTTTGAACAGAGATAAAGGGCCAATCTTGGTGGTGTAGCAGGGTCGCTGTGCATTGCGGATTTTCTTTTATGATATAGGAAAATGCCTCCTACCTAATAGCCCTTAAGAATCAGGCCAATCTAACAGCTACCTCTTCTGTGTGAACCATAGCCCACCCACAGTCCATGCAGTGTCTTTGTGCAAATTGTCATAAATATCCTCTCCTCCAGGGGGATGCAGTACCACACATGGCCAGCAGAGTGCAGGTTGGGTTTCAGCCAGACTTCTGGTATCTTGCACACTCAATTCTCTGTGGAAGCCTTGTGTGCAGACACCTTAAATTTCACTCGTTACCCCCATAACACACTTACAATGAGTGCTGACTTAAGTATGTGTAGGGAGTGCGACTTCCAATTGCTGGATGAAAGTTTAATTTTATTCCTGCCTGTTGTTGGTCATGAGAATTCCCATTAGTTTCTCTGTCCATCTTGCTGTAAATGTTTACCCTGCAAATTTCATCAAGTAACTGGCAAGGGCTGTGAGGCGGCAAAAGATACAAACATGCCTTATTATGAAGAAACACCCAGAACTGGGGGCTGAGGTTGAAGAAGATCCTATGTAAATGGCAATGGTGGGAGTAATATAGCTGTGAAACCACGAGAATGAGGTTGTAGGGGAGGGTTTGTTGATGTGGAAACATGATTACCACAGTTATAACTAAGAGAAAGGTAGTTTAAAAAATGCATTATGTGGTGTTCCTTTTTCTTGAAATGCTTATAAAATAATGAAAATTATACAGGAGAGTTTCCTTATATCTTCGCAGGGGTGATGAGATTTGGGGTGTCTTTTATTTCCATCTTTGTACTTTCTTTCAATTTCCTGTTTTCCTATAATGGAAATTATTTTCCCTCAGCATTTTCTTTAAACTTATTTTTAATAACTCATTAAACAGAACTGACAATACAAGGGGGAAAAGGAAAGAAGGTATCTCGTTCCAGTTTTGAATAGCCTTGAATAATGGATGAACAAATAAATGGCCTGACCAGTTAGAATCTAGTTAAACTTGTGTAGATGCCGAGTTCTGTTGAGGATGTCATGAGACAGGGACAATAATTTGGTGCAACTGAGGGAAGGGGGCCTGTAATCAGCTGCAGGAAGAGCCATGGCAGAAGGGAAAGGCAGAAAGAAAATGAAAAAGAATTATTTCTAAAGTGCAAAACTTTAGTGATAGTCTGCTTTAAAAGTTCAATCTGACTTAATGCTAAAGCCAGATTGAACTTTTAAAGCAAACTTCTACTAAAGTGGGCACAGTGGCTCACACCTGTAATCCTAGCACTCTGGGAGGCCATGGTAGGTGGATAGCTTGAGCTCAGGAGTTTAAGACCAGCCTAAGCAAGAGTGACATCCCATCTCTACTAACAAATTAGCCAGTCATTGTGGTGGGCACATGTAGTCCCAGCCGCTCAAGAGGCTGAGGCATAGCTGGGCGCTGTGGCTCATGCCTGTAATCCCAGCATTTGGGAGGCTGAGGTGGGTGGATTGCCTGAGCTCACAAGTTCAAGACTAGCCTGAGCAAGAGTGAGACCCCCATCTCTAAAAATAGCTGGGCATTGTGGTGGGTGCCTGTAGTCCCAGCTACTTGGGAGGCTAGGGCAAGAGAATTGCCCAAGAGTTTGAGGTTGCTGTGAGCTGTGATGCCATGGCACTCTACCGAGAGTGACAGAATGCAAAATTAAAATTATGTCCCTCTTAAGTGAGTTAAGAAATCTTGGAGACTAGGAGACCCCATAAGTAAAACTATGTTAAAACATCATTTCAGCATTTCAGTAGTCAAATGTCCCTTAACTCAGGTCTGCTCTGAGATAAATGGCTTTATAGCATGGTTGCTGTGCACTGTAGATTTCTTTTTATAGTATGAGAAAGTGCCTCCTACTTAGTAGCCCTTCAAAATCAGTCCAGTCTAACTAACTGCCTCTCTAAGTTTACTTATTAATCTGTTATTCTAGTGAGGAAAAAGTTGAACAAAATTAAAATCGTGTACTTTAAATAATTTCAAATTCAGGAAGACAAATATTTTAGTAATATGAAAGTAAACTCTGTTTTTGAGCATGGGGGCCCTTCTTATAATCCATTTGCGGAGAATTATTCATCAGTAGTGCTGATAGCTATAGTTTCTCACTTGCTGTCTTATTAGCTGGACTCTCTCTCAACTCTTTAAATGTTAGTGAAACCTACTAGAAAGTTGAGTGGACACTTTGAGGTCATGTCTGGGATTCATTTAGGACTGGAGGAGGTGTGAGGTTTAAATCAGAAAACAGTTGGCTGCTAAAAGATAAGAATTCCAGAAACACTTTAGCATTAAGCCAGATTGAACTTTTAAAGCAAACTACCAGACACTACTTGAGGTAAATTGAATGTTAAGGATTCAGAAACAAAGTAACTTATTTTGTTTTGAAAGCTATTTTTAAATAATCATTAATAATACATATTTAAGTTTGGCTGTTGCAGTCATTTTCTCTTATTACAGTTACCTAATTACTCAGCCTTAATTTGACTGTTCTGAGCAACGCTGTCTCTCTGCCTAAAATAGTCATCTCCCCTTGTTCCTGCTTCCCACTCCCCATTGTAGTCAAAGGGCTGCGTGGGCATCACTTTGGTGACCACAGCCGCCGCCTTCTTCTTTCTCCCTTCCCCGTTGCCTCAGATCCTTGTACTCCCATGTGTGAGGCTTCTCTCGCTATAATCACCTGTTGAGGTGTCCCTCTCCCTTGAAGAGGGCAGGTAACAGTGCCTTGCTCACCTTGATTTCCCAGCAGCTGACACAGTTGCTAACATAAAATAGGTCCTCAGAAAATGTAAGAAGTATGAATGGAAACCTTAAACGTACAGCTTCTGGTTACATGCCACTAGACCAGCAGGTTCATTACCAATAGTGGCAGGTCAGACCTGGCCCAGAGCGGGAGCCACCACTCAGTCTGACTTCCTCTCCGACCTTCCCAGGTATGCAGGTAACATGAAGAAAGCAGAAGGAGACCCCAACTTCACCCTCCACCCCGTTGGTGCCCAGCAACCCACTAGTTGAGATGTGGGAGCAAAGAGTTGTATGAGATGATGGGTTCTGGGGGAAAAACAGTATGTGGAGGTCAGAATAGCCTTTAGAGTTAAACCTACCTAGTTTCAAATCCCAGTTCTGGCCAGTGATTAGGTTGGGGACGGTCCTTAAATTTCCCAAGTCTCAGTGTCCTCCATTGTACAAGTAAAAATAGTATCTGTAAATTTTATCTTTTCAAAGACAGCTCATGTCGAGAAACAACTCAGGCTATGCATCTGGTAGGCAGGCAGCACGTGCTGGCTGTTCCTCATGGTCACTGGCATGTGCTCCGTGGCCATGACCCCTCCACAGAGTCTGGTCCATCTGGTGAGAGCCCAGGAACAGCTCCCCTCCCCCATCCTCCCAGAGAGTTGGAGCCTTACCTGAGAGCTCTGGGGCACCTCCCCTGAGAACGCTCTAGCCATTTCTGAGAGTGACACTCAGATCACAGGAGACACACCTTACTCACCAGAGCTTAAGTTCCAAATGGTAAAACTGTGGCTAAAGGAGTGGAAAGGCCTCAGACATTGTATTCAGTGTCTTTTGTGTAGACAGACGACCTCTTGTCCCAAGAAGAGCTGAGATGATGCTTTTTCATCTGGTGACAGTTAACTCTCTAAGATACTCCTTTCACCACTCCAGTGAAGAAATAGGTTCGGTTTTCACTGCAACCACTGTCCAGAGAGCAAAGCATCTGGGGCAGGGGGAGAAGAAAGCACTAAAAACTGAACTGCAACACCAGCCGACAGGTGGGGCTGGGCATGGGCCTGTGGGGACTCAATTGGATTTGAATTATGTTTTCATTAGTGTATTACATCAATCACCTATGGAGCTATCTGTAATAATAATAATAATTTCTAAAAATATATACCTCCTTTTCACTGTTTAATATTACATTTAGCCTTAAGAACTTTCTTAACCCCCATCAAATACTATGTAACTGAAAGTAATACCGAAGCAAACTGGGTGTCCATAAAATACGCTGGAAATGAAATACATTTCACAAACCACTTGTTATTTCCTCACCATGTCTAATGTTTTATACATTTTCCTGAAAGTATGAACGCCACACTTTCCAGTGTTTGGTTGGATTTTGAAAGAGGCAGGGAGGAGGTAATTGCAAAAAGAATTTGGTTTTTAATCCAAGAAAATGGTTTTTGTTGATCCAGTATTGATGTCTTCGAGTATCTCGGTTACTGCGTTTTCTGGTTGTTACTCGTGTGTGATATCATCATCATCATCACGCAGTGTCTCCACACGACATGGAATTCAGGAGAAGACCAAACTGAATTTCTATCCCCTACATGTCACCTGTCTAAATGTGGCTCTGAAGTTCCCTGACAGATCTAATGAAAAATAAACCGAGAGCTTACCTCATGCTTAGGCAACCTGGAAAGAATCTCAAACCATCTGGGGACCTGAATCCTAGTCCCAGCTCTGCCACTCAACTAGCTGGGCCATGGTAGACATGGAATTTCAAGTTTCTTTCAGCTTTTACATTATTGATTAGGAGCTATTTATTTAATTGCACATAAAAAACAATCTAATGCTATAGAGATATGTGTGTGTTGTATATATACTAGCAAAATTCTCAGATACAGTAAATGAAAAATATGCAACGTAGCTGGCATTTTTCTAATGTAATTTATAAAGAATCAAAAGCCTGCTGTTAGGGGGCATGCTAGCTTCCCCTGTGTAAAACAGATAGTATTTTTCACGGATTCAGTTTAACAACCCAAAAGGCATAACATCTCTTTGGAGAGAGCCAATGGCTAGGACTGGAATTATTTTATTGTTAAATATTTCATTCTTTTCTTTAAAGGCATTGTGTGCTGGAAGTTCAGGGGGTAAAACTGTCCTCCTTTTGGCACTCTTGTAGGCGTAGTGATCAGATTTCTCCCAATAAAGACAATAGCAACTTTTTTTTTTTTTTTAGAGACAGAGTCTCACTATGTTGCCATCAGTAGAGCACTGTGGTGTCACAGCTCACAGCAACCTCAAACTCTTGGGCTTACGCAATTCTCTTGCCTCAGCCTCCCAAGAAATGGGGACTACAGGCGCCCGCCCACCACAAGACTGGCTATTTTTTTGTTGTAGTTGTCATTGTTGTTTGGCAGCCTGGGCCAGGTTCGAACCTGCCAGTCTGGGTGCATGTGGCCAGCACTGTAACCACTATGCTAAGGGTGCCAAGCCAAGTATAATAACTTTTAGGAGACACTATAGATTTATGGAAGGACAGTGAACTTTGTAGTCAAGTCCATCTTCACTCATTCCCTTACTAGTTGTATGGCCATAAGCAAGTCATTTAACCTCTCTTAACCTTGGTTATTTCGTCTGGTTGAGAGGACTAAGGACCTGACGTCTAGTAAGCTCTACAACAGAATTTGGCTTGGTTCAGACACTTGACCAAATGTGCCCTCAGAGGAAGATACTGTCCTAGGTCCCAACGCTGCATTCACTGCTTTATTCAGTGGAGGTCTAACTGGTACTATTTCTGTGCCCTGGCTCAAGGCGCTCTGATCTTGGGAAAGAGGGGTTACCTCTCTTGACCTTTTTTGTCTTATCTACATTAGAATAATCTCAGGAACTTCTCACTGGTCTGATTAACAAGCAAAGAGGACTCAAGCTGCTGGTTGGCACCAACTACAAGCAAAAATAAAAGCAGTATTTATCAAAAAGTTTATAGAGGCCAAGCATTCCTAATCTGAGAATCTGAAATCCAAAATGCTCCAAAAATATGAAATGTTTTGAGGGCAAACATGACATTTTAGGCTTCCGATTTTCAAGTTGGGGACATTCAACTGGTTATATATCTGCAAATATTCCAAAATATGAAAAAAATCAAGATCTGAAATACTTCTGCTCCCAAGCATTTCAGATAAGGGATACTCAACCTGTATACCCACCTTGGGAAATGACATTTTAGGGAGCAACATCAGCCACACCAAGTGACTACTTAGTTGATTTAACATAAACATTCATTCTGCTACCCCTGCGACCCATAGGAACCATGCTCATTTGCTATTTTAATAGAGATTAAAAAATAGTTTTTTCTATTAGTGACATATTTTTGAAAATTGCTGAGAGTAGATTTTTAAGTGTTTGCACCACCAAAAAATGGTGTGTGAGAAGATGCATGTTTATTAGCTCAATGTTAGCCATTCCATAATGGCTTCAAAACATGTTTACACAATTTTTATTTATCAAGTAGAAAAAAATCAAATAATTTTTTTTAAAAGAAGCTCTCCCTCCACGCCCCCCCCAAAAATTTTAGTACGTGAGTTAAACTTGGCCTTTACAAATTTCACTTCAATGTTCTGCCTTGCAGAATATTCAGAAAAGGTTCTGCTTCCTAACCTGTGATGCTGCCAGTTACCTTGGCGATAACCTCCGGGGAATCGGATCCAAATTTGTCAGCTCTTCCCAGATGCTCACCTCCTGCTCTGAATGCCCGACGCTTTTTGTGGATGCTGAAACTGTGAGTATCCCAGTCCTGCTCAGGCAGCAAAAAGCCTGCCCATCTTACTGTATAGAACTTCACGCAGCATGCTCCTGTTGTGGTTTGTTTTAAAGATACCTTCAATGTTGTGGGCAGCACTGTGTTGTGATGTGACTCCCAGAGGCCTCTGGGTGTGCAGAGTAATTACATTTACATTGCCAGCCCAGGCTGCAGCAAGGCCATCGGGGAATTGGGAGTAAGTTCCACCCTCGTGTTCCAGCTGCATCCTTGACACCTCTCTCTGCTGACTCTGACAGCTGTGCATATGTGGTCAGCTAGCCCCCTGGAGCTAACCTAGCCTACAATTTCAGGGCACAATTCTCATCATTTTCTCTACCACAAGTCTCAAACAGAGACTCACTCACCGCCTTCTAGATTCACCCAGCCCAAACTACAATGGTGAGTATAAAGAATAATTAACACAGTCACTGGCCAATGGTTGAATCTTGGCTTTATCACTGTAACAACCCTGAGAGACTGACAAGCTCTCTGAGGGCAGAGGTTGTGTTCCCTTTCTTCACATCCCACATCATGTCACAGAAACATCACAGATTCTCAATAACTTCCAAGGTTCAGATCCAGTGAGCCTGTGCTTTGATTCTAACAATCCCTAGACTCTAGGCCCTAGAGGGTCAGTCTTTCCAAGAACCTGATCGTTGTTGTCTTGCACTAAGGAATATAATATGAAAAACTGTTCTATCTTAGATGATTTAAGGTACAGATTAAGCAATAATTTGAAAGTCTCTTTGGAGGTCTGTCTTCACACTACTTAAAGTATTAATAAATGGATACCATATCTTAATGTGAGCATCTATGGAATACTTGGTAAGGCTCGTCTGCCTATACTCATACGGGAAAAAGATGGTTTCATAGGAGGCTTGGATTAGCAAGCTGGCATTGCAGTTACAGCTGACAGTGGAAGAAAATCCCACATTTCACAGTGTATTAAAATGGGTGCCATTATGCTCCTTTATATTACTTCTGAATATACTTCTCCTTTCTATCTGTGTAGCCATGCCCTCATGTTGATCTCTCTCAGGTGGTTTTAATACAAATTATTTTCCTGTCTTTAGCTCCTTTCTTGTGGACTTCTGGACAAGCTCAAGTTCAGTGTTCTAGAACTGCAAGAATATTTGGATACCTACAACAACAGAAAAGAGGCCACTCTCTCAGTAAGCTTTTGTGTTTCTGTGCGTGTGCTTTCAGTTAAAATCAAACAAACCCAACCACCCTGGGAGGTGCTGTGATTAACCCAAGGTAGTTTCTTCAGAGAGTAGAAGACATACTTCATTTTTCCCTCTGATAAGGATCACAATTTCAATTTAATAGTGGTAGAACTGTATGTAATTTTGATTATGTTAAAAATGGTCTCTACAAACAAGAAGTTTTTCAGCTGTTTAGCCTGAGAATGCCCCAACAAAGAAATTGGAAGAAATGGTTATCTGCTTACTATGTCGCTTGATCAGTATTACAACTTTTCTTTCTTGGAGATGTGAAATAATTGATTACTTCCTTCCAGTTAACCTCACCCAGAACTGGCTCTGGTGGATCTTGCCTCTGTCCTCTTCTGACCCACTCCTGGGGCTTTCTCTTAACCCTACGGTTTTTCTTGTCCCTGGGTTTTTCTTTTCCTTTCCCTTCACAGATCTACGTTAGGGATGTCCAACCCGTGGCCTACAGGGCCATGCAGCCCAGCACAGCTATGAACGTGGCCCGACGCAAAATCATAAGCTTACTTAAAACATTATGGGATTTTTTTTGTGTGATCTTTTTGGTGGAACTCAATTGCACAGCTCTCGAGTATGAACTTTGTAGACAACAATGTTGTGTCACGATGTCATGTAAGATAAATATACGGGCGCTCTTACTATTTGTATGCGCGCGTGGCTGCAGTTTTGCAGTGGTGTGTGGCTTCCAGTGTGTTATCTTCCAAGCACAGACGGGCAAATTGACACCATCGGGTGTGATATGTGCTCGTGGTGACTTGGTGAAGCTCAATTACGTTTCACCCTACCATTTCAACATAAGGTGCTTAATGTAATTTAGAAGTCAGGTAAGCATTCTTATTTGACTTTTAAGGCACTTCTACACCTTGGTGGCACCTCACACATCTCAGACCGCACTTTATAATCAGCCTCTGCCTCGCCCTACTTTGGCAACTGAGATATGGAAGGGCCCAAATCTTGGTTTCTACTTTCCTATCAATTATTTTTTACAAGAAAGTAAATATACTCCCTTATCTATTATTATATTTTTAATTTCAGCATGGCTTCCACAATGTCTCAAAAGATATCAGAACTCATAAAAAGAAAACTTACAGATGAAAGAAGATTGCTCAGTGAAAAGTAGACAGATGACTACTTTTTTACCCAGGCCAATAGTTAGGCACTCTGCTTTTTTTTAAATTTCAGATTAATATGAGGGTACAAATAATTAGGTTACAATGTTTGTATTTATTAGGTAAGGTCCCTCTTGTAATTGTGTCCTGCACCCAGGAGGTGTGCCATATACCCCTACATTGTGCCCATTAGGTGGGAGCACACCAAATGCCATTCTGCTTAATCGGTGGGGAATTTTTCTGCAATCTTTCAAAGATTATAATTTGAAAAGGGATTATGTGCAGAAACATGCTGCCAAATTCAATGCACATGAAGGATTGTGTCATAAGATCAAAATAGCAGAACTGAAAAAAAGTCTGTCTTCTCAACAAAAAATGTTTTAAAAGTTACAATTCAGGCTCAGCGCCCGTAGCATAGTGGTTACAGTGCTGGCCACGTACACTGAGGCTGGCAATTTCAAACCCAGCCCAGGCCAGCTAAACAACAATGACAACTGCAACAAAAAAATAGCCAGGTATTGTGGTCCCAGCTACTTGGGAAGCTGAGGCAAGAGAATCCCTTAAGCCCAAGAGTTTGAGATTGCTGTGAGCTGTGACGTCACAGCACTCTACCAAGGGTGACATACTGAGACTGTCTCCAAAAAAAAAAGTTACAATTCACAGGGATTCCATTGTAATAGCTAGCTATGTGGTAGCATATTTAATAGCAAAAATATCAAAACCTCGGGGCGGTGCCCATGCCTTAAAAGGGTAAGGTGCCAGCCCCATATGCTGGAGGTGGCAGGTTCAAACCCAACCCCAGCCCAAAAAAAAAAAAAAATCAAAACCATTTACTGGATAGTGAGTTTATTACGAAATGTTTGGCCCTCAGAATGGGAAAAGATATTTGCAGGTTATGTCTCCGACAAAGGTTTAATAACCAGAATCCACAGAGAACTCAAACGTATTAGCAAGAAAAGAACAAGTGATCCCATCTCAGGGTGGGCAAGGGACTTGAAGAGAAACTTATCTGAAGAAGACAGGCGCACGGCCTACAGACATATGAAAAAATGCTCATCATCCTTAATCATCAGAGAAATGCAAATCAAAACTACTTTGAGATATCACCTAACACCATTAAGATTAACCCATATCACAACATCCCAAAATCACAGATGCTGGTGTGGGTGTGGAGAAAAGGAAACACTTCTACACTGCTGGTGGGATTGAAAACTAATACGTTGCTTTTGGAAAGATGTTTGGAGAACACTTAGAGAACTAAAAATAGACCTGCCATTTCATCCTACAATCCCTCTACTAGGTATATATCCAGAAGACCAAAAATCACATTATAACAAAGATATATGTACCAGAATGTTTATTGTAGCCCAATTCATAACTGCTAAGCCCAAGTGCCCATCGACCCATGAATGGATCAATAAATGGTGGTATATGTGTACCATGGAATATTATGCAGCCTTAAAGAAAGATGGAGACTTTACCTCTTTCATGTTTACATGGATGGAGCTGGAACATATTCTTCTTAGCAGAGCATCTCAAGAATGGAAGAAAAAGTATCCAATGTACTCAGCCCTACTATGAAACCAATTTATAACTTTCTTATGAAAGCTATAGCCCAATTATAGCCCAAGAATATGGGGAGAGGGGGATAGGGAGAGGAAGGAAGGAAGGAGGAGGGTGGAGGGAGGGTAATTGATGGAATCACATCTACGGTGCATCTTACAAGGGTACATGTGAAATTAACTAGGTTTAGAATATAAATGTCTAAACACAATAACTAAGAAAATGCCATGAAGGCTATGTTAACCAGTTTGATGGAAATATTTCAAATTGTGTATAAAACCAGCACATTGTACCTCATGACTGCATTAATGTACACAGCTATGATTTAATAAAAATGAATAAATAAAAAATAAAAAGGAAAGAAAAGAAGAAAAAAAAGAAAGAAATGTATGGAAAACATGGCAGATATAATTTGCCCTGATAAAAAGGGAGATATTTCTAAAATCAGCTTTTCTCACGAGACTATAGCCAGGAGTTTAGAGAGTAAAGTTGCTAATTTCAAATTTTATGTTTTGGCAGTAGATGACAGCACTGATGCCATAAATATGGCTCGAGATGGCCTTTTTGTTAGCGGTATTGATGACAAACATGTCACTGAAGAAAGGGCTTTAGTGCCATTAAAAGACACAACTAAATCAAGAGATTTATACAAAGCAGTAAATAATATGTTAAAGTGATTGTCTTTGTCCATTGCCAACATATCTAGTATAGTTACTGATGGTGCCCCAGTGAAGGTGATAGAAGAGAAGGGCTTGTAAAATTAATAGAAGACAATGCAGTTGCCACCCAAAACTCACATTTGATGAAATATCACTGCACAGTACATCTAGAAAATTTATGTGCAAAAGCTTTAAAAATGGATAACGTCCTGCAAATCACCATTAAACTATGAATCTCATAAGGGCCAAGGAACTGAATCTTTGCCAATTCCAGGAACATCGTTTACTTTTCAGAAGATGGATAAGTTGAGGCCAAATGCTTCAAGTCATTTATGGTATCAAAAGCCAAATTTGTGCCAGAACTTGACAATGAAAACTGGCTTACAGATTAACATTTAACTACTCTTTTTTTATTTTTGAAGATAGTCTCACTATGTTGCCCTCGGTAGTGTGCCATGGCGTCACAGCTCACAGCAACCTCAAACTCTTGGGCTTAAGTGATTCTCTTGCCTCAGCCTCCCAAGTAGCTGGGACTACAGGTGCCCCCCACAATGCCCAGCTATTTTTTTGTTGTCATTGTCATTGCTGTTTGGCAGGCCCAGGCCAGTTTCTAACCCACCAGCACCGGTACATGTGAACAGCACCCTAGCCATTAACCACTCATTTAAATGAGTGAAATATGCATCTTGAAGGGAAAAACAGACTTATCAATACAATGTTTCAAACCATAACAGTATTCCAAATGAAATGAAATTATGGCAAACTCAAATTAAAGCAAACAATTTTCTGCATTTTGACATGTTGGCTAAACACAGTCCTGTGAACTGTGAATTTGCTTTTCAATTTGATACAAGAATTGGAAAACAGATTTCCAGATATTTGAAAAAAAAAATATTTTGGTGCATTTGCAACTCCATTTTCAGTCAATATAAATATATTACCTGCCAATTTTCCAATGGAATAGAGCTGCAATCTGACATTCAACTTAAAGAAAAGTTTGATCCTGTGTCTATACTGGACTCTTATGGGTCCTGTCTTCTCAGAGACTAGTATCTCTTACTTGACAATCACGCCTTTTTAATGTTACCACTTTTTGGCAGCAACTATATTTGTAAGCAACTCTTTTCAAGAATGAAGCACATTAAGAGTAAAATTAGAACCAAAATATCTGATGAGCACCTTGAGAACTCACTGAGAATTGCAGCTACTTCCATTGAACCAGATAATGATGCATTAGTTTCTCAAATACAATGCCAAATATCCCATTAGTTTCATGTTGCCCTCTTATATAATAAAAAAAAAATTTAGATGATGTTTCATTACTTAGATGTGTACATCTTTATATAAGCAATCACAAACTTGGAACCTGCTTGATGATTTTAAAAGATTCTCTGACTGGGTCACTGAATAATTCAGATTATTATGTGAGGAATTGTTGTTGTTTATCTGAGGTGGTGGATATCATGAAAATTATGCATGGACCTTTTCTTTCTTTTCTTTCCCTTCAGCTTTCATTAGTGTTTGTGTATTTAGTAAGTGGCTTGAGACAACTTTTCTCCTTCCAGTGTAGCCCAGAGAAGCCAAAAGGCTGGATACCCCAATCTAGATCACAAAATGTTCCAGACAGAAGTGAAGTAGAAACCATCCATGCAAACCACTTGTTTTCTGACAAATGCACAGTTCGAAGCCCAGAGAATTCAGTGGTTCAAAAAATAAGAACAATTGTGTGTAGTAGTATCTCTTGAGTACTCCCTATGACATGTCAGGCACTATGAAAAGAGCACAAATTTTCTGGTAAGATGGACTGGGGTTCAAACCACAGTTAGATGGACTGGGGTTCAAACTTCAGTTACTTAAGGGTTAGTCACCTTGGATAAGCTACTTGCCTTCTCTCATCTCAGATGCATCATCTGTAAGCCAGTGGTCATAACAACTAATGTATGGAATTGTTATATAAGAGTTATAATAGTCATGGCAGCTATCATTTTCTGAGTCCTTTCAGTGTATCAAATAACCTGGTAAGAGTTAAATCTCTTGGCTCGGCGCCTGTGGCTCAAGCGGCTAAGGTGCCAGCCACATACACCCAAGGTGGCGGGTTCAAATCCCCAGCCCAGGCCCGCCAAACAACAATGATGGCTGCAACTAAAAAATGGCCGGGTGTTGTGGCAGGCGCCTGTAGTCCCAGCTACTTGGGAGGCTGAGGCAGGAGACTCGCTTGAGCCCAGGAGTTGGAGGTTGCTATGAGCTGTGATGCCATGGCACTCTACCCAGGGGGATAGCTTGAGGCTCCGTCTCAAAAATACATAAATAAATAAAAAGAGTTAAATCTCTTAGATTAAAGCATTTAATGCTCACAACTGCCATAGGTGTCACTATTACTACCGTTATTAGCTAGGAGGGGCAAGAATGAAACCCAGATGTGTAGGATTCAAAGGTTCATGCTCTTTCCCATGACACAATAGTGCCTTGAAAAATAGAAATAGTATCTGTTAAACTACCTAGCAACGTGTCATATGTATAGAAGACATTCGTTGTGAAGTTACTGGGTTTTGGTTGCTTTGCTGCTGTTCTTACTGATGACCTATGAGGCACTTCTCTTTGTGTTCTATTTCTGTGACTCTTTTTACCTGTTACTGTTTTCCAGCCTCTCAGTCATAAACCACTAAAATAATCGTTTCATTCTGATTGATGAACACAACTAGTTTTGACGTCAGGTGTGAATTTTAATTCTCCATGGCTCATTGTTTTCTGCTCAGAAGTTCCTTTGCACATTTGTGTCACTTACTACCCGGATGTGTAAGACTGGCAGAAACTCTAAATAGCCGGGCCATGACTGTGAGAGCCTTTCTTCTAGTGAAGATTCGCCCCCAGAAGCCACCTCAATATAACAGAGAAGTCAGTATACTGCCAGTCAGGCCATGTTGACCAGAATTACCAAGCTGTGAGGAAGTGTGGGTCCCATCTCCTAACCTCAAACATATGGAAGGTTTCTAGCAACAAGTATGAATATACATGTATATTCATTTTCATGTATACATAAATTAGGAATAGCATGGTAAAAACTGTACCCTAGAGTGATGTAAGTGACATCGCTGAACCCATATAAACCCATATAAACAGATGCTATCATTTCACTTAATCTTTAATCCCCACAAATAACTCTTTTCAAAAAGTCATGATAGCAAAATTTCATTTTACTATCTTCAGAAGCTTAATAAATTTTACTTGAAAGAATTTATGTTAAAAATGGTCTCAGGACATTACTGAATTTATGGATCTGTCTCTTTTTCTGATGACAGTGGCTTGCAAATTGTAAGGCAACATTTGCGGGAGGATCAAGAGATGGAGTCATCACCTGTCAACCAGGGGACTCGGAAGAAAAGGTAACAAAAGCCTTTTAGGGTTTATCTTTTCTGTGCTGACGTTGTGTGTTGGTTTTGATTCACCCAAAAAGTGTAGAACTTGAGAAAGGAAGAGGCGGAATGAGTCATCACGCATATTTACATAAACCGACACAGTAAGGCAGAACAACATTCAAGCCATGCATGACTGTGTGATGATGGGATTTGGGGATTTTTTTCTTCTATTTGGAAAAGTAGATGTGTTAAGATAACCTTTTTTGCTGGACACTCTAACTATATTAATCATTGCCTAATAAATCCATTCTTAACTCAGAACATAAAACCAAATTTCATTAATTCTTCGCTGAACCACTCAGTTCTTCAGTGAAAAGAGTTTCTCTTGACCTTTCAGCTCTAAAACAGATTTCCTAATTTAGAATTGCTTTAAGTACACACCTCAGGTCAGTATGCTTTATGGCCTACTATCTGTATGACCCCCCCATGGCAGATACAATGATGAGCAAAAGGCCAGGCATAGTGGCTCATGCCAGTAATCCCAACATTCTGGGAGACCAAGGCGGGAGGATCCCTTGAGATCAGGAGTTTAAGACCAGCTTGAACTAGAGTGAGACCCCTTCTCTACTAAAAACAGAAAAACTACCCAGCCCTTATAATAGGCACCTATAGTCCTAGCCACTAGGGAAACTGAGGCTGGAGGATCTGAAGTTTGAGGTTGAAGCCCAGAAGTTTGAGGTTGCTATGAGCTAGGCTGATGCCATGGCACTCCAGCCTGGGTGATAGAGTGAGACTCTGTCTTCTAATAATACTAATCAACAAACAAGGCCTCTGCCTTTGTGGAGCTTCTGATCTTGTCAGGGAGGTAGACAGTCAAAAAAGTCAAACAGTCATAAACTGCAACAAGGACTGTTAGGGAGAGGAAGGCATATAGCAAGGCCTATGGGGAGGGTGGTTATGGGATGGCTCCTCCATGAAAGTGTCATGATGGCAGAGATCTAAGATATGACCTGCAGTTAGCCAGTGAAGCAGGGTTGGATGGAGAGCCTGTATAAAGGCCTGAGGCAGGGAGAACCTGGCCTTTCAAAGACGTGAAGAGAGCCCTGGGGGCTGGGAGTGCAGAAAGCCATATAGAAGAAAGGCTGAGAAGAACCTAGAGAAGTTGGTAGAAGCCAAATCACGCAGGGCTTGGGTAGGTTTTTGTTTGTTTGTTTTCCCATGGGCTTGGGTGTTTAACAGCACTGGGAAGGAACTAAAAAGGAGTAACAGTGTGATGATTAGATTAAGGGTCTCCCACTCTGTCTACTGAGGAAACAGATCAAAGTGGAAGGGCGGATCAGGGAAGTTGGGAGGCTGCTGCCCAGGCTGGGTGGAGAAGGTGTTAACTTGGAATTACATTATCGCTGCTGGAGAAGCATTTTAGATTGCATACCCCCTAGAGAATCCAAAGTAACTTCCTGTGTTAGAAATAGTACTTTACTAATGTAAAAAGAACTAAATAAAATTTGGTTTGTGCTCAGAGGTTTGAAGTAAAAATTTCAACAGAATACTAACGTTTCAATTCCAATTTGGTCACTGTTATTGAGCAAGTTTGTGGTCCTGAGAGTAACTACCCTGTGAGCACAGAGTCACCTGGTGAGCCCCTTGATACATTTTCATACAGGGACCAGAGATTGAATGGGCAAACTGCAAGGCTGAGAGATATCTAGATGGGGTATTGGAGTGTGGTTTGTATTTTTGCACCATTGCCTTTCTTGAATACACACATTTATATTTCACTTTATGGTTTACAGAGAACCTTCATGTCCCTTAAGTGATTTCATCTGTCTGGATGGGCAGCAGGCCACTGGTAGCATTAGCCCACTCTATAGTTGAGGAAACACCAAAGCTTGACTTACCCAAGGCTCCATGGCTGAGACATAAGCAAATATAAAAATAAATAGTTTGCTTATATTTTTTAAAATAAGTGTTTTGTGACTTTATGTGCTGTCTCTCTCATGAGCAATGCGTAGTTGAATATGCAGTTCAAAATCTCAGGGAACTCCAGCATTTCCATCCATCTCCGCATCTGTGATGGGCTGCCTTTGATAATTTGTGACTCAAATTTTCACCCAACAACCTGTGTTGTTACCAGACCCCAGAAATAGTAGAACAAAATATTACCTAGGTTTCAGCTTTTATAGCACTTATGGCTCCACTATACTCTGCCACGAAGACAAATTCTGTCCGGAAAACAGTTATCAGGTTAGAATTTACAAGTAGCACAAACTTAGTCCAGTTCATATACATACAGTTTATATAATAGTATGTAAAAATAATTAGTTATCTAAACATTTACCCTCAATCATCAAATTTTGTTATATTCTCTATAATGAAACCTTGATTGAGAAAATTCATTAATACATTGCAGATTTTTAGGAGCAAGGGTTGAAATCAAATCTATTACAGGCAGTCCCCAAGTTACAAACGTCCAACTGATGTACAGCTTGCACTTACGAATGGAAGCCAGTACAGGTAATAGGTAAATGTACCTGTTCCAATTTACATACAAATTCAACTTGAAAACAAACCTACAGAACCTATCTCCTTGGTGAACTAGCGTCTGCCTATATGTTTTTGTTTATAGGTTAACCTTCCTGGTTAACCTTAAGGATGACCAGAAAATCCAGTTAAATTATCCTATTTCTCAAACACCTCAATTTTAAAATAAGTGTTTCTATTGTGCTTACAGTTTATTTCTATTAAGTTGTTTTACTTTGTTTAGTTGCTTTGTTTTTCGTTCCCAGTTCTTCTCCATCTTCCTCAGACAAAAATTTCTCTCTTATGTTTGCTTATTCTTCTCACTCATATCTTCCAGATCCACATCTATCTTTCTTTGCTTCTGTTTTGTAGTAGTTGTTTCTCCCCATCTCTTGTATTTTTACTAAACCCAAGGATTAAGAAAATAGAGTTTGTCTATTGATTCATTTATTTATCTGTGACAACTCTGTTACCATCCAATAAAGGCTTGAGAGTACAAAAGTGGAAAGAAGAAAGTAAGTTTTTTCAAGTTCTGTACACATATAATCTAATTTGACCTTTCACAGAAATTCTTTGAAATAAGGATTTTTCCATTTTGCAGACGAGAAAACTGAAGCTGAGAGGCAAACTCTATTTTTTTTTTTTTTTTTTAGATAGAGCCTCAAGCTGTCCCCCTGGGTAGAGTGCCGTGGCATCACTCACAGCAACCTCCAACTCCTGGGCTCAAGCGAGTCTCCTGCCTCCGCCTCCCAAGTAGCTGGGACCACAGGCACCCACCACAACACCTGGCTATTTTTTTGGTTGCAACCATCATTGTTGTTTGGCGGGCCCAAGCTGAATTCGAACTCGCCACCTCAGGTGTATGTGGCTGGTGCCTTAGCCACTTGAGCCACAGGTGCCGAGCCAAGAGAGGCAAACTCTAAAGGCCATACTCTTTTGTCCCTGACCTTCTCTAACTTAGTTTTGGAAGCAAAACTTACACTAGACAATGATTTCCAGCATTTGTCTTAGTGTCTAATATGGTTTAGGAATCTTCATACATTAGGAGGACATATAAAATACCCAGGAATGAGAAGAGTGGGATTTGTTAGGAAAAGAATGACCAAAGGGCAAATTCTGAGTCTGATGTTTTTAACCAGGCACTGGCCCCATTGTTGGTATTAGCTAAGCATATCACAATTTTCCCAAATGCCTATGGACACAATGGTGACTAGTAAACCCAGGCAATGGCCAGATGTCCTGAAGAAGATGCTTCTATCCCTGTGTAAGTGACAGTTCTGGGGTCTGAGCCTAGTCTGGAAGGCAAATGGTATGCCATCTAACAAGAGAAGTTGGCAATCCTAGCAAGTCAAGCAAGCAAGGCTGGGTGACTTTTTTAAATCATCTATATACTCAAAACGAATTGTTTTAATTTGTCAGTAGACCCTGGAATAGTCACTGGGCATGCAGCTCACACCACACACTAATTCTACCAGCCTTGACTGAACTACTGCTGAACTTGTATGAGTAGGCACCAAGGGTGTTCACAAATCAGGCAGCCTTGGTTCCCATCACAGGGAACACTTAACAAGGCTGGAAATGGGCTGAGGGGAAAGAAGTCTTTATGTGCTAAAGGTTGGATTTAAGGAGAAATGATGGGTGTTGCTCCAGCAAAATATCCAGATCCAAAGTTGGCAGAGATACTATTTTGCTGAGCTGAGCTACCATTTGGCTTCCATCCCAAAGCAACACCTAACAAATGGCCTCAGATGCTTACCTTCAAGTGATTTTCTCCATCTCATCATGGAGACAGCAGTTTTAGGCAAGTTGTCTTCTGGAATAATTTGATGTTGCCAATTATTTCTTTGCACCCTTTGTCCAGGGACAGGTAGAATGAGGAGGAGTAAGCTTATAACTTGCAGAATCTGTATCTAGAAGTAAATTGCAAAGTGAACATATAAGTAATCACTACACAGGTATATTCTCTTTCAGAGAAGTATGTACTTTATGAAAGGATTAGTCTTTATCTGACTAAACCTAGCAAAGTAAATTCTTGGACACTTAGATGTATTAGTCTGTCAGAGACAGTGACAGTGTGCAGAGAGGCATATGAGATCTTCCCAGCCCCCAAACCATACCCAGCGTGGTCTGTTCTTTGACAGTGGCCAGTTCTAGTCATTCTTACCAAGTGATTTAAGTGAGGCATTGTTTGTGGAGGAGAATATAACCTTTCACTGAGTTTGTATATTTATTTTTCAATTTCTCTTCCATTCTTAAGTTACAGGCATTAAAATAATGAAGGAAGAATGAAGGAAGTTTATACACTAGTGGCCTATGAGCGATAACCTGTTCCTGGACATGTTTTCTTAAGCTTGCTTTTTTTTTTTTTTTTGAGACAGAGTCTCACTATGTTGCCCTCAGTAAAGTGCTATAGCATCATAGCTCACAGTAACCTCAAACTCCTGGACTCAAGCAATTCTCTTGCCTCAACTTCCCAAGTAGCTGGGACTACAGGCACCCACCACAAT